AAAATTCAATCAAACCACTGATTTTTCACAACTACAAAATTCAATCAAACCACTGATCTTTCACAACTGTAAAATTCAATCAAACCACTGATCTTTCACAACTATAAAATTCAATCAAACCACTGATCTTTCACAACTATAAAATTCAATCAAACCACTGATCTTTCACAACTATAAAGTTCAATCAAACCACTGATTTCTTACACCTACAAAATTCAATCAAACCACTGATTTCTTATACCTACAAAATTCAATCAGACCACTGGTATTTCACACCTACAAAATTCATTCAGACCACTGGTATTTCACACCTACAAAATTCATTCAGACCACTGGTATTTCACACCTACAAAATTCAATCAGACCACTGATATTTCACAACTATAAAATTCAATCAAATCACTGATTTTTAATTCACAACCACAAAATTCTATCAAGACACTGATTTTTTACACCTTCAAAATTCAAACCACTGATTTTTTACAACAATAAAATTAAATCAAAACCAACAATTTTTCACAACTATAAGTCATTTTCTTTAATTGTCTAAAGCATTCAGTAATAAATGTTTTCAATCAATAAGAGAAATTACTGTAAAAAAGATATGACAGTGATAATAGCATCATTGAATATCACAAAATAAAATATTAAAACACTGCATCACCTTTCTTTAAAGATTGTTTTTAGAAAACCTGTCCAATGTCAAACTGTTGAAATTTTCAGATATAAGTTTGAACTTTAAGAAACTATTGGTGCCTTTAAAACTTATGTGGAACTATTGTAATTAAAAAAACATTAAAATTAAGTATCAATTTTTAAAAAATGATGAAAACAGAGTTTGATATTATTTTCTCAAATTTACTTCCTATCGATCTTTAAATCTTTATTACATTTAATTTTAATCCTACTTCAGAGTTCAGCATTGATTTTAATTTCTGGATTGCTAGTCTCTTTTATTCTAATATCTGGTTTGTTGTTTGAAATAAATATTTTAGTGGTAGGGCAAGTAGGACTTTTGGCTGTATCTACAGAAATATTTAATACAAGTCTAAAGACTTTTTAATTTCATTGTATAGGTCACTGGTTAAGCCACATTTGGAGTATTAATTGTGTTCAGTCTTGAGCTCCTTTCCTTAAGAAGGACATTAAATTGTTGGAAAGGGTTTAGAGGAGGGTTACTAGAATGGTGCCTGGGATAGAGGGGTTGTCATATGAGGAGAGGTTGAAATCTCTCAAACTGTTAGATGGGATCTGACTGAGGTGTTTATTATGATTAAGGGAATTGATAGTGTTGATGCATCATGGTTTTTCATATTTAAGAGTGAGAATAGTAGTACTAGAGGATACAAATATAAATTTTGGCAGGGTAGGAGTAATTTTGGCCAAGACAGTTTCATTTTTCTAACAGGGTAGTTGGCCTTTGAATGTTGTAGAGACAGTAAATTTAATTGAGTTTAAGAGAAAGCTTTATTAGTATATGAATGATAAGGGCTGGCTTTAAGATTTAAAAAATATATATTTATTAATAGTTTTAATTTAGCTTAAAGGATGGACCATTCGAGATAGACCAATAGGTTCGACGTTGTCCCAAAACATTAATTTATGTTATGCTATTTTCATCAGCAGTTCCATTACATTCCTTATCTAGATATTTGTAGAATTACTAGCACAGATAGTCTGTTATACGCTGTTTTAAATGACATGTGGTGGACCCCACATATTCTCATCAAGAGTAAACATATTGATAAATGATGTAGGAGAGTTGAAGCTAGTTTAGTAATTCTGTTCTCTATCTTGAAAAAGTTTTCAATTCTCAATACAGATTCAAAGGTATACAAAGTGAAATTTGTGAATAGTTTGATTTAAAGATATTTTGATTATGTCTCTCAGCACATTACTGTCTTTCCCTATAAATGAAAAACTGACAGCTTGGACACATCAAAACTCATTTCTTGATTATGTAGGGTCATAATTTATAACAGAGTATAAAAGAGCATCTGAGGTGTAATATTAGTAATTCCTCCAACATCTAGGTCACAAGTGTGGCAGAACAACTGAAGAAAATACTCATGTGATAATATTTACTTTGAAATAATGAACAAGATTTAAGAATAAAGGAGACTCTGGCAACCAAGAATCTTACTGCCTCAACTATTTCAATTATTAAACTTAGTTTTAAATATTACTGCCTCAACTGTTTCAGTTATTAAACTTAATTTTTTTTTATCTTACTGCTTCAACTGTACTGAATATTAAATTTAGTTATTAAATCCTACTGCCTCAACTGTTTTAGTTATTAAACTTAGTTTTTAAATCCTACTGCCTTGACTGTTTTAGTTATTAAACTTACTTTTAAATCCTACTGCCTCAACTATTTTAATTATTAAACTTAGTTTTAAATCCTACTGCCTTGACTGTTTTAGTTATTAAACTTAGTTTTTAAATCATACTGCCTTGACTGTTCTGAAGTCAGCTTTCTAAAAAGCATTCAGTTATGGGATGAAAGTTTGTGACAAAAAAAACCTTTAAAGATCCAGTTCACCACCTTATTGGAAGATATTTAGAGTTAACTCTTGACACTTATGCCTTGCTTCTTGGCTTGTTTAGCATGTTACGTTAATAATTATAAGCAGGTCTGTAAGATGCAAGTATTAAATCTCCAGTGTGTAGCCTACACTTATTATAGTGTCCTCAGTATTGTCAGATAATTATTCATGCCATTATTTGTTGCTGCAGTATTAAAAATTATATTAACAGCATTAGTACATGGCCTACCATTGTTCTAGTATCCTCTGTGTTAGACAACTGTTCCTGGAATTGTTTTTGTGAAGTGTTACAATATATGACAACCACAAGTGCATGGCCAAACTTCACTTTAGTGTCCTCTGGTGGTAAACAACTACTTGTCTGCAGTTTTAAACGATATATTAAACCATCAGCACCTGGCCTGCCTTTACTCTAGTGCCTGCTAATGTTAGCCAATTGTTTTTGTTTGCAGTGTTAAACAATATATTTAAATAATCAGTGTCTGAATAAGCATTACTGTAGTGCCTGCTTATGTTAGCCAGTAGTCTGTAGTATTGTTTTTGTCTGCATTGTTAAACAATATTGCTTCTTTCTAAATGATCAAGGCAATAATAACATTTCGTTAAAAAATATTGGGGTTAATAAAGAAACATAAAAAATGTATTGCTTACGTATACTTCTTCCCATTGGCTGACATATCTCACCAACCGTGATAACCGTAACAACCTGAGTAAACTGAGCATCTTGACTAGCCGCAGTATTCGTAGGGCACGGCCGGCATGTAGAATCTGAAACTTATCCCTGTAGTCTGGGTTGAAGATGAGAAAAATGTAATCCAATGGTATTGAACTAATGAGATCAAGAAAAAACCAAGTCCTTACATAGTGCTTAGCTATTAACTTTGGGTCGAGTATCACTTGTTCACACACATCCTGTTTCATTATACCTAAAAAAATACAAATTGGGAGTTCAAACAAATATGGAAAAAATTATTTTGCAAATGATGGTTAATACACTTTTGTGAAATGCTAAAAACAATCATTTATCTAATAATCAACCTCTCAAAGCTGTATTTAGTAATCTTCAACTGCTCAAAGCTGTATTTAGTAATCTTCAACTACTCAAAGCTGTATTTAGTAATCTACAACTACTCAAAGCTGTATTTAGTAATCTTCAACTACTCAAAGCTGTATTTAGTAATCTACAACTACTCAAAGCTGTATTTAGTAGTCTACAACTACTCAAAGCTGTATTTAGTAATCTTCAACTGCTCAAAGCTGTATTTAGTATCACATGAAATACTTGAATATAGAGTAGAGTCTCCTAACCCTTTTCACCCCAAGAACCATTAGGAGTATATGAGGTTAATGTTGTTGTCTACTGCAGCTACTTCAAAAATCTTTGAAGAGAAATTACATATACATATATACAAAACAATAAAAATCATTCCAAGTTTCCCTCGGAAGAAAAAGCTCCACCTTTCTAAAGCGGCTTAGATTATAGTGTGTTTATCATTTTATATTAAGACTTCTTAAGCCAATGTGTTTTTCTGATATCATGAACTTATCTACACACATTTATTGCACTTTTCACTGGACCAGCTTACATACAATTAGTTTTGTTCATAAGAGAAAAATGAAGATAACTATTACACAGGAAACCTATATTTTTTAACAGAGGTAACTACAGCAGATTTTGGTATATACCATCCACCACATTTAAATTTACAAGAGTTCAAATATTAGCTGAACAAGTTATAACAAGCACTGTTGTATTCAAGTTCAATGGCTGCCAACATGCAAATACAAAATACTGCAAATAGCAGGAGGGTTAAAAAGAGTTGCTTGAGAGAGAATAAAATTAACACAGACAAAACGGGAAAACCTAAACATTTGTATGATATATCAGAAAAAATCTTTGCTTAATACATTAGCTTGCTGAGTCTATACTTTACCTCTTTGTTATAACTGACTTACTTCTGTAGCAGATCTCTGTATTCAACAAAGACTGAATGGCTTGTCTTCACTTGACAAAAAAATACAAAAGATTGTGTCTATGCCACACTCTTAAGTCAGTCAAAAGTCCCAGTGCATTATTCATAATCCTAGGTTACCTAAATCAGCGATCATTCTCATTAAATACATCCAACAGGAAATTAATTTACAGCTTGTACTAATTTTTACAATCGTCTGTGGCACCCCATTACTTGAATGATCTCACACAAGCATGGCTGATGAAGCTAGAGCTAGGAAAGTATAAGGTAGGGTATTTTCAACTGCTATATACTACACTAATCTAGTTAACTCTTGCATACACAAGAGTAGCAGCTGCTCAAGTCCAGGCTAAAAACTCTAAATGAAATAACAACTGGTCAATAATTATGAAAATTTCATGCAAACTCAGCCTTGAATAGATAAAAAGTCAAAGTTAAATGTCATAATATTTAGGCCAGGAGTCATCAACAACTATGTTAAATTGTTAATCCTTAAACAGGAATAGGGAATACACTCAACCCTCTACTCAAGAATGCACTTCTCCCAAGCACCAATGAATGTCCAGTCTTCATAGCTTCTACGGAACAGTACACATACAGCTACATTATCCAGAACACTGACCATGCTGATCCCTGGTCAGTTTATATACACATGAGCTTTTTCCACCATTTTCTGGTTGCAAAGGCAGAGATACAATTTCAATAGGGAAAGCAGGCAAAAACTGTAAACCTTGCATTAATGACTTTCCCTGAGGCAATTGAACAAGCACCTACTTGGAAGAGATAGAGAACAACCAGTTTCACAACATGTCATGTTCATGGTTCACAAGCTGAAAAAAGCATTTACTTGACAGTTTATATTGCCTATTCAACCAAACTATCAGACACATTATTGTACAAAGGACCAGCTGTAGCTGATGCAGAAGGTACAATTCTACACCACTGTTTTCTCTGATGTTGTCAGTTTTTCCTATGAGTAGCACACATGGTACCATATTTACATGATATTTTACATCTTTATATGAATGTGGCCAATAGCTGCTTCTGCACATATGGACATGCCCTTTAGCCCTTGTATTATACAAAGTTGAAAGGCATATGGATATGCCCTTTAGCCATTGTATTATACAAAGGTTAAAGACATATGGATATGCCCTTTAGCCCTTGTATTATACAAAGGTTAAAGACACATGGATATGCCTTTTAGCCCTTGTACACTACAAAGTTTAAAGACATATCGACATGGCCTCTAGCCCTTGTATTATTCAAAGTTTAAAGACATATGGACATGCCCTCTAGCCCTTGTATTATACAAAAGTTAAAGTGTCTCTTGCCTCACAAATCTGAGGACTTGTATCACAGGTCAGGTATGAAACTTCAGTGTTGCATCTAGCATATCACTCCACATTTGGAACTGAATATATAGGTTTTCTATATGGTTGGTACAGCTCAACCATGTCAGAATTCCCAAGTTGACTTTCCCAGAGTTACTGATGTGTCATTAGTTTTATAAAGTCTGTCCATCAATGTCATAGTTCCAATGGTTCATCACTACTGCTACTGTGAGGAAAGAAAAAATATTCATTGAATAAACTACTTGATCATAAGATAAGTCAGTACAAAAAAAAAGGTAGAATAATTGTGCGAGTCTAAGTGTTCCTGGTATGTCTAAAGTCAATGTACTTTACATCCAGATCTTGGTAGGAGATGAAATAAGCCATGTAAATCTTACAGGGTGTGTTTCCTCTGTGCTGTTATCACTATCTACGCAAAGTACCTCTGACACAGAAGTGGATGATGATATCGAAGAGTAATACCCCAACACAAAAGTAGGGCTTTAAACTAAATACATCTGACAGTTACAAAATGGTTTTTCTCTGTATTCAAATCATACGACTTGAAGAAAACTCCACAATGAACATGATAACCATGGTTGCTGTGACACATGCAACCATCAGAGGGCTCCTAGAAGAACAACCAAGATGGCTGCGCTTATGAGAGGGTGACATCATGATGACATCACAGAGCTAAGGAGCAATTTTTGTTACATGCATATGTAAATTTAATACCAGTGGAGTATCTATACTTACAGTTTAACAATAAACAGCATGTGTTAGATGATTGGCACGTAAAACATCCTATACATTTACTCATTTTACAGTTTGTAATGTACATTGAGCCCAAACAAAATGCATTTCTATTCATGTGGTTTTATAAGAACAAGATCTTAGAACAGTCAGTGGAATGTAAAGACAGAAGATTTAATAAAACTGTTTATATACAGAAAGAAACCTGCCCGTTCTAAAGTTGACGATGATGTCTAGAAGGAAGATTGTATCAGAGAGACAGTTGAAGGCAATCCATCGGGCAGACAGGTCATCATTGAAGAATGAGATAGCTACAGGAAGAACAATCAGATTGGCAACTAGGAAGAACAGCATACACAGGTCCCAGTAGAATCTGCCGTAAGAAACAGATAATATACATCATTACTAAAATTAGCCACAAAACACCAAACAGCTGATTCACACCACTAATTCAACCTATTTCAGAGCCAAGTATGGCTTACTGGTTAGTGTGGTTATTGTAAAGTCCAAGGTTCAAACGATGATGTGCCTCTAAACGTGCTTGACACTTTCAACTGTGGGGCATTCCAAATGTTTAAGGTAATCTCCCTGTAAAGTTAAAAGTACCCATGGCATGTGCTACCGACCAGCTACTCTTCCTCTGATCAGTACCTCTATATTAAGGATACCTATATCAGGACCAGGTCTCTAACCTGGCTATTACATCATGTGTCGCTATTATGTGCCAATCAGGTTCAAAATATATAACAGGGCTTTGAAGAAGAAATGAAATACAAATTATGCAGAATAAGATGCAATTATGTGTACTTGGTGAATGTATAGATGAAAATTGTGAACTAGTTCAATATTTCTTAAACTTGTGTATTACAGCTGTACATTTACCACTTACCTGACTAAATGCTAAGTTTGTAAAAAGAACATCTTCAAATGTGACTGTATTTTTCTCATCTCAGAAAAAGGTTTATGACCTGACAGGTTTACATTATTAAATTCCATACTTAGTGTGATATATCTTTTCTAATACTGAACATATTTCCAAATCATACCTGAAGAACATTTCATTCTTCAACAGAGTGTCTCGTAACAAGTGAGTGAACTGATAAGTGTGTTTCCTCACATGATTACAACTGACGTACATGCAGGCAGTTTCCATGACTGTAAAAAAATAAAATTCCCAAGACTCACCACTAGGAGAATGATAAAAAGTGAGGTTTAAAGGATCTATAAAAATCTCCAGCTTTCTCTGTAACTAAGTAACTTTGGTAAACGTTTAGCTACTTTAAAACTTTCAACAAGAACAAAGAAACTAATAGAACACAGATGTAACTTGGTTCACAGTAGAACACAGAAACTAATAGAACACAGATGTAACTTGGTTCACAGTAGAACACAGAAACTAATAGAACACAGATGTAACTTGGTTCACAGTAGAACACAGAAACTAATAGAACACAGATGTAACTTGGTTCACAGTAGAACACAGAAACTAATAGAACACAGATGTAACTTGGTTCACAGTAGAACACAGATGTAACTTGATTCACAGTAGAACACATAAACTAAGCCAATGTCTCAGTTGTAACTCAATTCCCAGTAGAACACAGAAAGTAAACCAATGTCTCAGATGTAACTTGATTCACAGTAGAACACAAAAACTAAGCCAATGTCTCAGTTGTAACTTGGTTCACAGTAGAACACAGAAAGTAAACAATGTCTCAGTTGTAACTTAGTTCACAGTAGAACACAGAAAGTAAACAATGTCTCATTTAGAACTTGATTCACAGTAGAACACAGAAAGTAAACAATGTCTCAGTTGTAACTTGATTCACAGTAGAACACAGAAAGTAAACAATGTCTCAGTTGTAACTTGATTCACAGTAGAACACAGAAAGTAAACAATGTCTCAGTTGTAACTTGGTTCACAGTAGAACACAGAAAGTAAACAATGTCTCAGTTGTAACTTGATTCACAGCAGAACACAGAACTTTCAGTGTTGGAAGTATAAAACAGGAAGGAGCTGTGAACTAGCTGAACTGGCAGTGTTGGAAGTATAAAAGAGGTATGAGCTGTGAACTAACTGAACTGTCAGTGTTGGAAGTATAAAACAGGTAGGAGCTGTGATCTAACTGAACTTTCAGTGTTGGAAGTATAAAACAGGTAGGAGCTGTGATCTAACTGAACTTTCAGTGTTGGAGGTATAACACAGGAAGGAGCTGTGAACCTACTGAACTGTCAGTGTTGGAAGTATAAAACAGGTAGGAGCTGTGATCTAACTGAACTTTCAGTGTTGGAGGTATAAAACAGGAAGGAGCTGTGAACTAACTGAACTGTCAGTGTTGGAAGTATAAAACAGGTAGGAGCTGTGATCTAACTGAACTGTCAGTGTTGGAAGTATAAGATCAGTAGAAGCTGTGAACTAACTGAACTGTCAGTGTTGGAAGTATAAAACAGGTAGGAGCTGTGATCTAACTGAACTGTCAGTGTTGGAAGTATAAAACAGGTAGGAGCTGTGATCTAACTGAACTGTCAGTGTTGGAAGTATAAAACAGGTAGGAACTGTGAACTAACTTAACTGTCAGTGTTGGAAGTATAAAACAGAAAGGAGCTGTGAACTAACTGAACTTTCAGTGTTGGAAGTATAAAACAGGTAGGAGCTGATATCATAAAGTCTCAAGTAACCTACCTGAACTTGGAACACGGGTGGATGACCCAATGCCCAGCATCTCGCTGCCTGATGCGTTCTTTCATCAAAGCTTTCTTGTTTCCAAAGAGTTTCATGGCGAGCTTGTTATCGGATGGGTGAAAGAGCGCCTCTAGCTGGTTCCGCATAAAAGATGCTTTAGCCTCAACCAGCGCCGGTCCTAGCTCTTCTATGGGAGTTCCATATAGGCTAGTGTCGTCCTTCTCGGTAACCCCCTCTCTCGTAGTGTTTGTACCCTCTCCCCCAACACTAGTACCTGGCCACCCATCTTTGAAATTCATCTCGGATGTAATATAATCACTAATAAGTGGTGGATCATCATCATCTCCGGCTGCTGTAACCAGCGAGTCCGTGTTCTCCACATTTATTTTGATGGATTCTGTCTCTTGCAAACTGCAAGGTGACCTGATCTCTTCTTCTGAGGTCATCTCATAGCTAATGCGACCGTTAGCCAGTCGAAGACTTGGTACTCGTTCAGCTCTCTGTGGTCTGTTGTTATTCTTTATGTTTTCATTCATTATTTCCAAGCATCTAAACAAAATACAGAGGAGTTAAACAGCCAATCATAGATTTGACCTGTATGTCAAATACATCTCAATCAACAAGTCTGAAGAACTGGTTAAAGACATCTATCATACAGTTTAATGAAGCAGTTCTTGTAAGATAGGCAGTCCTTTATTCTAAACATATACATAAAATACATAGGATGTTTATTCCCATGAACAGCAGGAACAACAAATATATAAAGTGTTATATGTACATCATGAACAACTGATGTACGCCGTGCTACATGTACATCATGAACAACTGATGTACGCCGTGCTACATGTACATCATGAACAACTGATGTACGCCGTGCTACATGTACATCATGAACAACTGATGTACGCCGTGCTACATGTACATCATGAACAACTGATGTACGCCATGCTATATGTACATCATGAACAACTGATGTACGCGTGCTACATGTACATCATGAACAACTGATGTACGCAATACATCAGTTGTTCATGATGTACATGTAGCACGGCTGTGCTACATGTACATCATGACCAACTGATGTACGCTGTGCTACATGTACATCATGAACAACTGATGTACGCTGTGCTACATGTACATCATGAACAACTGATGTACGCTGTGCTACATGTACATCATGAACAACTGATGTACGCTGTGCTACATGTACATCATGAACAACTGATGTACGTTGTGCTACATGTACATCATGAA